CCAAGCCTAAGCATGCAATTGATGATGTTAACAATGCATTGGATTGCATCTTCTGGAAGATTACGTAGGCATTTGTTACTGATATTATCATATCCGGGTGCTGATCTGGTCTTTAGACTCGAAATAATACATTTAATCTCATCTCTGGAACACTGTGAGATGCTTTCATCTGACACCAGGTTCCTAAGATTAGCAGCCTCTTCGGCAATATTTTCTTCTACCAGAGAATTATAGTCACTATCAGTATTGGGCTGAAATTGCAGCTCCAAAGAATCTGCAAAGGCCTCAGCTTTGGCTATGTCTGAGAAAGCCATGCCGGTAGCTACATAAATAGGCGGCACTACCGGTTTACGTTTAAGCCTAAAATACTTGTTCAAAGCCCAGAAGGTTTTATTACCTGTATCAATTCCTGAAAGAAATTCGCACCATTTATCATTATTATATTTGCCAATTTTTTTCCTGATTACATTAGAGAGACGATTGGCTTCTCTTCTTCTCATAGGATCTCCAGTTATTTGAGCAAATTTTCGAATCGCATTCCTTTGTCTAATGATTTGTTTGATGTAATGCGGCAGATAAAAGTAGCTACTTGGTTTTCTGGTCCTGGTGGTGGAGCTATTATCCAATGCCTCCTTAATCTTGAGAGTGAGTTTTTGGATACAGTCATCAAGATCCTCAGAAGTTACTGGCCAATTATTTATATTTGAAATATCAACCTGATTCTTAAATGAGTCCCAGTTAGTGGTTATGTACGTGAGATTCATGTTGATTGCTGGACAATTTTCAAGAATAAAAAGAACTGGTTTGTGATCCGAGTCCAGTTCATCAAGGACCTCTACGTGCACATTCGACTCTAAGTTATTTGAAATTCCGAAGTCAATGACGTGACCTGTGATTCTGCCATAATGTGTCGGTTCACCTGGCGCATGAATCTGCCATAAGTGTTCAGTGGCGAGCCCATCAATATCCCTGCCAGCTCTGTTTGAAGTTCTGTCACCCCAGCTGCTATGATATGCATTTAAATCGCCCGCTAAGAAAGTAGGTGTCTCGTTGTTGAGGATAACCTCAAGTTCATTAGGGAGAATTTGCAAACTTGGTGGCCTGTATGCTGACACAAAATTTATATTACCAAGTTGGCTTTCAACCAGTACAGATGTTGTTTCGAGCGATTGTTGGTTGCAAATTGTAGCATGATGTTTAATGCCATATTTAATCACGATGGCTGTGCCACCACCTCTTCTTGAGTTTCTGTCTGATCTGTAAACAACATAATTGGGAATTTTAAAATGAATAGCAGGTTTCAGAAATGTTTCTTGGATCAACATAATGTCAATTTCAAAATCATGCAGGAATTGGATGACCTCATGTTTCTTGTTAATAATGGAATTGGCATTCCACGTCACAATTTTAAGTCGATATGATGACAAACTCATTAAGAAGCTAGGGTTGGCACTAAACTTTGTAACAAGGACTCCATCATAGTTTTCATCATTGTACTAAGTTGTATCTGCATATTATTTAAAAGCTTCTCCATGTAGGAGGTTAGCAAGTGGGAATTGGACGAAACTTGCTCAGCTGTACTTCCCTTCTTCAAAGCATCGGCATAAGAAATTGAAGGCTGCACTTTAGAACTGGCCGTAGAAATTGGTGTGGAGACATTCTTTTTCTTCAGCATTTGCGGAGCGCAAGGGCATCCTCTATAGTTGGCTGGGTGGCCACCACCACAGTTCGAACAAATCGGGGCAACATCGCGTGGTTTTGTACATTGTTGGTGATGGTGTGAGCCCTCACACTTAACACACTTTGGTGTGGCTCTACAGTTAGTAGCGACATGCCCGAACTGCTGACAGTTATGACATTGTGGGGGACCTTTTAGAGGGCGCTGGGCTTCAATAATCACCTTTAAATGACAAATACTGGAAACATTATATATGTTCTTCTGGTCAGCTGGCAGTCTGATTTTAACTAAATTGCTGGCAGCTTGTCTAGTTTTCAAAAAATGGCATTCAAAGATACTAAATCCTTGGCCTGCAAGATCTTCTTTAATATCATCTATACTCTGACCCTCTAAACCTCTAATTATTATATTGAGGTGTTTTTCGTCAGGAAGAAAGTGGGTGTGAAATGGCTCACTAATCTCATTTAGATATCTTGTTATCTTGCGATGGTCATCTATGGTGGCAGGAGTTATTTGTATGCCCAAACGGACCTTCTTTGCCTCGCTAAAATTAATGTTTCTTGTTAAAAATTGCTTGACTAAAGAGTTCCACGTGTTGGTTCGACGGAGTACAATAGGTACAACTTTGCCTACTTTCTTATTTGAGGTTACAGGTTGTAAAAGATTTCGATTCGTTATATTGTCAGAAACAATACCATTAGTATGTATGTTTTCAGGCGTAGAGATCCGCTCAGGAGTTGGGGATTGAGAATTTCCTGTTGAAATTGACTTGACTGCTGTTGAATTTGGTGCTGTTTTAGGAAGTCTTTTCTTTACAACTGATTTCACCTGTTTGGTCGATTTGACTTTTGGATTATATTTCGGGAAATTAATTTCAGTATCTTCAATCTTAAAAGGGTCAGGCTCCGCAACAGAAATTTCTATCTCCATTTCTTCCTCATTAGAGCCAGCGGAGTCATGGGGGGAGCTAACTGGAGAAGGCGGTGAAACTTTCTTCCTTTTATTATTATTTAATTGATTACCAGTAGCTACTGGGTTTTTTAGCTTCAATTGTTTTTCCAAATCAGAATACCGGTCCTGGAGCATTTGAAATTGCTGCCTAAGTTTGATATAGTTGGCATTTAGTGCATCCAAAATGGGCGCGATTTCTTCCGATTTATTTGATAGTTTTTCACCACACACTTTTAGTAATCAAATTTTACACCATTTTTTAAAATTTTAGTACCATCCATTGCTGGCGTTAAAGCTGACCGGCTTTTATTTAATTTTTGCATTTAATTGACGTGACTTTACTAATATATCAATAGAAATCAGAACATACTGTTGCCTTTGCTTCGTAAACCATCTATACAATGCTCTCTCCATGTAATTTACAATCACGTTATAACTTTGCTAAAAATAAAAGATCATAATCTCTCTCCATTCAATGACTCGATTGAATTTAGAACTAGTTGATTTAAACATATTGTTAGTTATTGTTGTTGTAGTCCATGGCAGTGCAAAAGAGAAGGGGATTATTTAGGAATAAGAATGGATTGGGGATGGATGAGTTTTTAATTGCAGTCAACCAGGACCAAGACGGAGAAACTTAGACACTTCTATAGTTTACTTCAAACATTGAACTCTTAGTTTGTATGTACAGTGAGAAAAAACAAACCGGCGACATCATGGGGGAAGAGCTACGGTTAGGGCACACACTGGGAATTGATGCATTTAGGTGTGACAAGTAGCTTTTTGAAACTCAGCTATATACTGATCTACATTAGGCTGCACAGTTATTGTTGCACAGGTAATACGTCGTTATTCCTGAGAGATATTAGGCAAGGGCCAAGTGAGAATTTTGATGCAGTCCAACCGTTGTCTTAAAGAGGATATTGCATATGTGTGGAGGGCTGTTAGTGCACGTTTCGTATTTAAATATCATATTTGTTGTTTTCTGTCACTACAACTTGCAAACTACAACTAGCACTGTCAAATAAACTTAATCCTTAATTGTTTTGCGAATATTCTCAATGGCATGCATTTGACATACATTATAAAATTTTAATATTTGGAACACTATCTTTAACAGTATCCTTAACTAGTTTATATATAAAGTAGATATTTATTTAACAAAAAAGAGACTATGTAGTTTCTTACGGCTGAAGCATTAAGAGAAACATGAGTCAATCTGGAGACTTCTGACTTTTTCGTTAACATCGTTATGAAGTCTCCTGTAATGTGCATCTACCTGTTACCCTTAATTGACTTAGAATTTTTGTTTTATACGTTTGATGTTATCTAGCAATCTGAACTCTGTCTTACTTCACAATTCAGTAGCATTCTTTTCACAACTGCTATGAAGATTAATCAAGACCATTATTTTCGTTAATTCATTAACGTATATTCCTTTAAATGCTGATACATGATAGAAATAAATTTAGTCGCAAAACCAAAGACCAAGGGAAGATTGTTTGTAATACCAAATGCGTTTCTAAACACATTTTCAGTGTATTTTTGCATTTATATTTAGGTAATTTATTCATTTTATACCTAAAGTCTATTTATAATTATTTTCTTCACAAATAGTGAATGAAGAGTGCATTAAGTTCGTCTCAAGGGTGTTAATATGATTAAGGAAGCAACAGAAGCGACACTGAACTTAATTAAACTTTCTTCACCCAACCAAATCTTAACCCAAATATTCGTATTTGCAATTTCTTTTATGTTATGTACTATATAGATCTATAGACACTATACTTAATGGTGCCCATTTGTTTGTCTGTCCGTCCATCTGTCTGTCTATTCCCAAAATTGTTAACTCATGTCTAGTTAGTGCAAATCCATAATTTATGCTAATCAAATGAAAATCTAAAGACAAACAAATCATGTCAACAAATCGTTAAAATATTTATTGCTAATTGCGAACACATAACGAGCTTATACGTTATACCAAAAACGAGCTTATATTAATATATACATATTAATATAATTTATATTATATCAAAAAACAAATTCCACGAATAAGGAGATCTATTATGCTAAATTCGGAGAAAAATTTAGAAGTAAATGATGAAGTCAATGTGACTAGTGAACTATTGTCTCTAATAGAGAACTATTAAATATTTCAATAAAATACATAAATAGGTGATTTATAATATAACCTCATTGATAGTTTGGTAAAATCATGACTAACTTTGTTATTGCCTATCGAAGTCATTTTCTGTTTGTTTCGAGTTCCAACGCAATATTTATATGCGATAAAAAAGCAGATAACTTCAACTCTAATAATATCAATACATAGAACCAAACACTATAGGAAATTAAAATACAATTGTTTTCTTGTTAGTATAAACATTAAAAATTCTAAGAGATTAGAATAGGTTTATTATTACATAGAGTTCCATTACAACTTACACAGAACGGATTATTTTCCGTACATTCTGGAACTTGTGAAGCACAGTCTCTAACTACATAAAGATAATTCATCTTACTCATTACTACACTAACACACAGTTCGTCATTAAAAGCACACTTTCTCTTATCTATAGCAGGTAGTGTTGGCTCGTTAGCACATTCCGGTTGTAATTGAGATGAACAATGATAACAAGTACGTACTGATTCATTATTACAACCATCTGTTTGACTGCATTTATAGCAAACCTCTGCAGTGTCACTGTTTTCATCCTCCTCCGAGCAACCTCTTCTTAAACTTAAATCTAAAAGATTTCATTTTTAAAATATATCACGCAAAATATTAAATGTAATATGTATACCTTTTTCACAAGAGAAGCAAGAAAAAGTTGATGGAGCACATTTCTGTTTAGTCAGAAATTTACTGGTTCGGCAATTATTATTCTCATTTGTAGTGCAATTATTACAACTTATTGTTATGCACTCTTTATTGCAGTCTTTGCCAGTACATTCAATTAGGTTACCATTGGTAAATAGTGGCTTATTTGAAGAGCACCCTCTTTGAACTACGCCAGTCTGTTCATTTTGATATAAATAGCACTGCCCAATATGTCCGCTCATTAGTTTATTTTTACAACGAGTTACATTCTGGATGGAACATTGGGTGCTTCCTGATATATATTCAAACTGTCGTAGACAATTTGGATTAGGATTATTAAGTGTATGACTACACTCAAAGCAAGTTTCTTCAGAAATAACTGATTCGTTATTGCAACCATTATAGTTACATTTTGCACAAACACTAGAGCACGAGATTGAAGCATCAGCTTGAGCACAGCCACGTTGAACATTACTAAGACCTATTATATTAGTATAACACCGATTAGTGCTGTCATATAATGGACAAGGATACATCAGATTTTTCTTTCCGCTGACATTAATGCACTCAGCTCCAACGCATTGATAACATTGTAATCGCTCCAAGGGAAAAATATTACGATTACATAGACTATAATTACATCGGTCACATGGCTCAGGACAATATTTGTTTGGAAATAACTTCAACAAACATCCACGACGTGTAATTCCAGCAACTGTGTGTTTGTGTTATTTAAAACAAATTAATGATTGCAGAACTATTTTTTAATTTAATAACTTACCGATTACTGTCACGCACTCATCTAAATCAGATGAACATTCTTCTACACTAATTTGTTGCCCCGGACTAGTAGCACATTCGGTATCCTCAGCTGAGTCGCACGTATAGCACTCAAGAGGCGTCACTAAGAAAACTTCGTATTTATTACTTTTAACTAAGGTGAGACGGAGTCACACATACCTGATATTAAAAAATGGCTCAATAACAATATTAAAATATATTGCACAAACATTTTTGAGTTTTTTTGTTTAAATAAATTATTTTACTTAGATATTTCGGACTTTATATACAGACACCTGAACTAAAATTTTAATTATGCACAATAGAAACAAAGAAAAGATAAGATTAATTTGAAGAAGTGTTTTGGGCTTTATCAAATCGAAGGTATTGGAAATGCCTTAATGCATTATCAGTCAAATATGTCAACAAGAATTTGTATAGCAATAGAAATCCGTTTCTTCAAACTCAATATTATATAGAATTTGCATTATTTTAAGACGAGCGTAACTATTTTTTCGGCTTGATAATCGTTGCATTATTGGAACGCAGCTCAATAAAAACTTTTCATCACTATCAGTGTCAGTATTAGGATTTTCTTCTATTCGATGCTCATTTGTGCTAGGTTTATATTCGTCCGACATTGCTGACAGTTTTGATAAACTAGTACTTTGTGTAGTCTTTACATCATTGTCTTCAGTAACTGAAGCGGAACTCGGTAGCTGTGTGAAACCTCTCTTGTTCAAATCAGTTATTTCTTTAGATTCATTTAACAATTCATCTGAGCACTGAAGTGCAAACTCTTTGTCCATGTCTGAAGTTGAAGCAGGCATTATTGCATTGTCATCTGAATTATCACCGTAATCATCAATGAAATCGTCAACACTACAACTTAAAAAAAACCTAATATTGGAACTTTGTTATAAATGTGTGCATATATTACCTAGATTTGTCTAGAAACGGCGCAATAAAGCTCATTTGATCATAAAATATCCACTTCTTTCGCTTAGATGCTCCGCTCGTTGTCTTTGACATAAACTTATAATGCTTAGAAAATGCATCTCGTAATGAACGCCAACGTCTGCGGCACTCTATAATAGACGCACCCATTGCATTGCCAACTTCCTCCCAATGCTGGTGACGCAGTCCAGACTTTCTATATGCTTTCATTTTTTTGTCATACAATATTGGACGCATAGCTACTTGCCGTATTAACTCTTCTTCATTTAAAACAACCAACTTTCCAGAGCGTTTCTGGCATTTTGTCTTTGACGATGTTTTATTTGCACCAATCATGTTTAATTACATATTAATTTTTAAATGTTTATTAAATAACAAAAATATGTTAAAGTAATGCGCCAAAACCACAATACGAACTGGTCATACAAGAGGCAGAATAGCAACGTTGTTATAAAAAAACAGGGTTGGCTTGTGTTCGATTAAAAACGTTTTTTTATTTGTTAAAATAAAAATACTAATATAAAATTACTGAGATAAAATTTAATGATTTCTACTTTTAGGTTACTCCAACATTATTTTAGTGAATTTCAATATTCTGAAAAATTTTTATTATTACACCATATGCCACTTAAGTTTGAATTTCGAGAGAACCTGCGTTAAGTGCACAAATTTATCATAAGTTTTCTAATAACAAGTTTAAAATGAAGTCAAACTGTATAGCAAAATAAAGATTAAACGAAAAATAAATAGAAGTGTGTTTTCAGTTAATTCTAAATAAATTTTAAGTTTAAAAAATTCTAAATCCCAGCTAAAACAATTTTAACAAATACCAGCAAAACATAAAACCGCCATCTAACCCATGTTAATGTCAAAAATGTAAAATGTGTGCAACTAGATGAAGTAAGTATTTATTAAGTCTGTTTACTCGTACATATTATTTCAAATAAAATTTCTGTTGATGTATGAATCAGTTGTTTTAATTTGAATTTAAATTTTGTATTGTTTATTTGTGCGGCACTGCTGTTCTCAGCAGATTTCACACAAAACTGTTCTATGAAAATCTGCGTAAAGAGTATAATTTGGCACTTTATTTGTGTTACGCTCTCAGTTTGGGCTTGTATTTTACTTGAGTTTTACTACGAGTACCTCATGGGACAAAGCTATAGTAATAAATTATAGCAAAATGTAATAATAAATAATTTTATGTTGAACTGAACAAATAATAACAAAAGTGGTTTTATGTTTTATAAAAAATGAACATAAATTATATTTCATTCCGCATAATCGAATTTTCGCAATAGTGAAACGCAGATTAAAATAAGTTTTACACTCGATTATTTGATTTGTTTTAATATTGTCTTTCAATGATCTAAAAACAAATACAAGTCTTATCTTTTTTTGAGTTTCTCTAATAACAAATTTTTTTTATTATAAATTTGATCATTAATGAAAGATAACAAAATGATTAAACGAATTTATCATTCGGTATATTTTAAATGCAAACTTTCTATTATATATGTCTAGTTAGAATTTTAGATACATAAAACTCTTTAATACATTTTTAAAGTAATTTTTGTTTATGGCCATTTTTGTGAAACTTAATAAATATAGATTGATATAATAATACTTTTAATAGTTTTATAATTAATTTTTTTATAAAATTAAGAAACTCTTTCTTTGTATTCATTTTTATTGAAGCAATTAAAATAAATTTATTGTTTAACAGTTTTGCTTTAATCGATCAATCTTTTTAAAAATAATTCTTCTTACAAATTTTAACAAGAATATGCTTGTTTAATCTCATATTAAATTATTAAGTCGTTCACTATAATTTTTCTTAACCAATGGTTTTAAATATCCGGTTATTTTTCATTCCGTTTGGTTAACCGATGATGAACAGAAATTATAGCAGTTATTGCAGTTTTTCTGTCAAAATGCCTGGTTAGTTAAATTCATTTTGTTTTGCTCTAAAACCAGGATAGTTGGTGATAGTTGTGATTAATAGATTGATACTTTGCCATATTTTTTATAATTATTATAAATTAAGTTTATTATGTCTTCGAAGCGTGCGACGAATTTTACAAAAAGCGAAGAAGATTTGTTAATAAGATTGGTTTTGACCGAAAAGAATATACTCGAAAATAAAAAGACTGATGCAATTACCGCCAAAAAGAAGGCTGCAACTTGGGAGAAGGTAGCATATAAATTTAACGCATCATCGGAGAACCCGGTAAGCTCAATTAATTTACTATCCCCTACAAAAAAACTGTTATTGTTTTTTTCAGAATCGAACAGCAAAAATTCTGAAGGAGAAGTATACCAACATCAAGCGATTGGTTCGACGACGAAGAGTCGAAGTCTATAAAAATATATTTTTAAACGAAGACAAGCTACCTCCAGCAGAAAGCACAGAAGAAGTGAGTCCTGTATTTCTAACTCGAAATAATGGAATAGATACGAGTGTGGATGAGTTGTCAGCTAGGTGATTTAATGTTTATTTATATATTGTTTGGTTTGAACTGAAAACAAATATAAATTATTGCATTTCCTCCGTTAGAATTGATGACAATGCAATGGTAGATGAACAACATTCTGACGCTGATACAGAATTCTTAAAAAAACAAATTTTGGAAGAGCAACTTCAGCACGCACGTCTCGAGCATGAACAAAAAATGAGGCAAACCGAGATTCAAATTATGCAATCAAAAGAACTCCATGAAATGCAAATGAAAATTTTAAAAATGGAGCTGAAAATAAAAACATCACAATTGCCTTAAATAATAAATATGCAAAATAATGCAGATATTGATTTATAAAACAAACTTCGGAAGAGCAACTTCAGTACGCTTGGCTCGAGCGTGGTCAAAATTTAAGACAAATTGAAATTGACATGATGCAATCGAAAGAAGACAATAAAATGTTAACAAAAGTCTTAAAAGCGAAGCTGCAAACAAATATGTACAAGGCAATTGTTTTAAATAATAAATAATACTTCCAAAATCACCGGTCATTCAGTGTAAATGTGATAACGCGCTGCGTGTAATACACACCAATTGGTGATGTACAATTTTGTTTAAATTAAATAAATTTAATAAATTATTTAAAATAAATTACTCATTATTTTATTTATTTTAAGTGCACATTGTTTGCTATGGCTAACTTCTATGGCAGCTGCTTGCATTATTTCGACGGATTGGATATTTGTTTCAAGGCACTCAACCGAAATTTGAATATTAGGCGAACTATCATTGCACATTAACTGCTGGAAGTGTTTGCATTTTTAACCTTAAGGAAAGTGACTATTCGATTATTTAAATCAAAAAGAAAACACAGTTTATATTTTGTTTTAAATTATTTAAATTTTTTGATTTTTACCAAGCTTAGGTTGAAAATTTAACACATAAAAATGATAAAAATAAACTTACACTTATTAATTTGTGTTAAATATTTTTAATTATATATTAATTCTTTTTAAAAATATTTATAATATAGATATTTCTGTATTCAAAAGAAGTTCTTTTTTGCTTTATGTACACTAGACATTTTTTCGAACGTATAAACGTATAAAGACTTTACATATAGTAAGTAAAAATATGCATAACAAATGTCTCTGCAAAGGGAATATCGTTGGAAAAACAATAAAAATAGGTGACTTTGCTTATATTAAAGTATTATAGTACGTTTCCACTGGCTTCGTTAGACCAATAGAAACATACTCTTATCGTAGTATCAAGTTTTACGCAGGACGGCTAAAAATATTATTAAGAATTGTTCTTTGAGCAATAGCCTTTGCAGGCAATCTGCTTTTTACAACCAATTAAATATCAATAGTTGATTATTTAGTTTATCATTTAACTCATATTATTTATATTTTTGGCACAAAGTTAAAAACATCGCTATGATCATCTTTATAATATAAACGTACTTTTTGTTTCTGTTTAATTAAATTAAGAAATATATGTTTGTTAAAATTATTTATTAAAATATAATTGTTGTAATTTAGGTTATTCCTCAATTTCTGCAGAAATCTATTTAATATGTCTTCTAGTAGAGTATGACTTAACGTCTCAGTAATATTCATCACAAATCCAATCGAAATTTTATTAACTTTTCATCACTTAACTTAGTAAATTTTTGCACCATCGATCGACCTAGCTAGTTCATCCACCCTAAACATGAAACCAACTATGCACCTCTGATTTGTATGTGTATGTTTTAATATTTAGTGAAGAAAGATGGAATAATGTCAATATGGTGACGAAATAATTGACTGCTCCAAATGATTCTTATTTAGTGACGGCTCTCATTTTGAAACTGTTTACTTGGTAACCCCACTGAAGCCAACAATTTTGTACTGAACGTGTATCTACACATTTTTTTAAAAGTAATACTTAATGAATTCAAAAATAAAAATCTACAGATTGGTTGTAAAGTAAACGTAAAAATATATTTTTATCTCCCAAACCATGTTTAAATATATAAATATACTTGCACACGGAGATACCTATAACTTTCAAATTACCATGCTTACACTTGTCAATTTTTAAACTTCTGAGGCTTTTACAATTAATTGCAATAACAAAAGTAAAACTAGTGGCTAGCTGTTTAGATCTGGAGCTTAATGTTTGACAATTGTCTGCACTAAATATTAATTACACTCTTTAACTTTTAATTAAAGTTGGAGTAGCATGTAGTGGATGTTTAGGTCTAGATGTCTCCTTGTGATGCTTGAAGATAAAGTCTTTATCCTGGGATTTGGTTATGGTTACTTTTGGTGAGACTAATTTTTCAATTTTGTAATCGGATGGAAGAAGTACTTTTGAGCAAAGTAGTGTATCATCAATTTTATTGGAAACCGCCAACATAGTGTTCAATGTTTCACTCTTTCGTGCATGTAACATATCAATATCAGTCAACGTGACATTTGGCTCCTAATAGGAAAACAGAAAATGTTCACTAAACGGTGCTAATAGTTAAAAATGACAATAAGACTAACCTTCTCTAGAGCTGCATCTGAAACTTGTAAGTGGTAATCCTGTTCACATAATCGACTAAGTAAAGCGATGCCATCTTGACGACAATCTGCATATCTATGTTCCCATGCGTCAAGAAGACGATTATAATAGCGGGGATTATCGATAAACTTAAGATACGTATAAGTGTTTTGAGTTGGAAATATACGCTCTAGTGGCTTGCTACGTGCATATTCATCTTCTGCAATAAGCAGACAGCGAACATCATCAGGTAGTAGATTTTCAAGTATGCTATCAATATAATCCTCACGATACTCAATAGATCGATTAGTAAATTGATTATGCTTTCGGACTTCTTCGGCTGTTAAGCATGTAGTAAATATACGCTTGTCGTAACAAAGTGGTCCTTCTAGGTTTAACGTTTCCAGAATTTCATTCTGTTGCTTTTCACCTAGTTTAGGAGGAACCTAAAAAGCAACAAAAAATTAATTAGAACGTTAATTAATTATATATGTTATATTTAAAACTTACTTGATATAGTGCAGTATTAAGCAGAGCTTGTATTAGTGGTCCCTTAACGTGTAGATCCAAAGGTAGCTCAGAATGTAGAGATGGTGATATATTAATTTCAAGTAGCCATGGAATGAGATTTTCATCCAATAATATATCAAAACCAAAAAGCTCAAAACAATTATAACGAAAATTGACATTTTGGCGATACATTCTATTAAGACCGGATTCGCCACTTATTATGGATTTTATAACTAAATTTCGCAAAGTAGCCCACAAACGCTTTGTGTTTATTCCTTTAGCCTCAAGGTAAGACCACAAAGATTGAAGGGTCCACTTATGTCCCTGACACGCGTTGAAGTCTTCGTTTTTCGAATAATTTTGAGAAAATTTATTTATACTATAATTTGTAAGATGCATGCATCTGTCATCCAGACATTCTAGTTCAGGTCTATATTTCACTAAAAAAAAATAAGAAATTAGTTTTAGTAGAAAACAGTGTTTAACGTTGTTGGAACCCGGAGAGATTTATTGATTTTGTCTCTGTTAAGGGAAGAGGGGAAGTCTTTGATAGATGAGTAACTTCGGTATGTAAATCTGGTTGCTTTTGGAACCAACACAGCTGTGCTTATTTATATAGTATAATAACTTTCAAATAATTTATGAATCGGATGTATTATTAAATCTTTGAGGATTATCTTACTGCTTGCAAAGGCGGTTAGATTGTAGTTTGCTATTGTAGTCACGACTTGCCTTATAGCTTCACCATTATAGAATATAAAATGATGAAACGATACGGTTCATAGCAACAACAATAACATAATTATGTTAATTTTAAATGACTAACCTGAAGCGAATCGTGCTAAACCATCCTTGTGTATATATATTCGTAGAGGATTTATGGATGTAACTACTACATAAATACGCATATCGAACTTGTTATCATTTATAAGCAAGGGTCGTTCAATATACCTAAAGTGGAATTATTTGTAATTATTTAATTAAGTATAATAAAATATAATTTATTATTATATTATATAAAATAAGATTATTTAAATCGAGCATAACAATGTTCCGAGTATTATTATTTTAGAACATTACGATATTCGAGCAGTTTGAGTATTCTCAAACTTGAATATCCGCGCTGCTGGAGAATGTTCGAGTTACTTTTGTCTCACATTTGCTGGATGTTTAATTTTATTTTTATTTTGTTTTATATATAAACATATAACAGCAAATGTTAGATCACATCTCGTTTTCGAACATTTTCGAACATCTCATACGTGTGACAACTTACTCAGACATCAAAATACTCAAAGCTTCGATTAGCTCGAATAATAAATATATGAAAAATTTACTTTTGAACCACTAAAGGTCTGTCCTTAGGAAATTGACTCCATTTATTTACAATACGAATTCCAGTTCCTCGAGCACTTGCAGGTGGTTTAACGATCCACTTTGTTAATTTTGAGGCAGTTTTTGGCCAAACTTGTCTTAAACTTTCTAGATCCCCAGGCATAATATAAGTTCTGTTAAGATTTAAAAGTTTTTATCAAAATTCATCAGAATAATAACAATACTATTATTACAACAGTAAGTGTTTTTTACCTTTGCATGAAGCCAAATTCTTTCGTACCAAATTTTTTCATATTGTTCAAAAGATTACGCCACATACTGTCCTTTCGACCTATACGAAAAGAGCCAGGCATATGATTGTATTTTTGGTGTGAACGAATAGTCCTAAAACCAGGACTCTTCATATGTTTTTCCCAAACTGCCATCCAATCAGTGGTGTCTAAATAAATTATAATCTCAGTCGAATTTTAAAAATATAGATTTACTATATTAACTTACTTTTAATTATTCGAAAACCTGAATTAATAACAATACGTTTTACAATTTTTGGCATTACAGGACTGAATTTCCATTTTAAAATTTTATGAAGAGTATCTGGTATAGGAGGTCCTTTTTCAACATGAGAAGAGAAATTAAGGTAGGGAGGGACGTTTGGAAAAATACTGGGTGTAAGAATAGCGGATGGTCTGTAATATTCACTTCGTTCCTCTTCATTTGTACAAGATGAAATGTCAGTTGGTGTGTGATCCCGAATATTTCGGCTCTGATGAGTTTCATTTCCATCATCACATAGGAAAAATGGTTGTCCGCTGTATTCATCATCGGAGTCTGTTTCTGTTGACTCATTTAACTCATCTAAATCTTGAAAAAATGTTCATAATGATTTACAGATCTATAATAATAAATAAAGTCATTACCATTACCTCCGTAGGGTTCATCATCGGATGGCGAGCTCTCCTTTTTCTGATGCTTTTCAATTATTTTTGCTAGAGATACACCAACATAGTTAATATTTTCAACGTTAGGCAAACGACGGATGCAACTTATGCCACCATGTTTAGTGCGACTTAATCGTGGCAGATAATTGGAAGCATATAAACTAGTTTCATAAGCGGAAGCGGCGGATTTGGTTAGACCGTTTTGGGCAAGAATTTTTGTCTTTTCATCATGCTGATGAGTGCTTAGAAAGCTGCTAGCGTGGAACTGGTTTACAATAATTTTTGAAGCTGCTTTATTTGTGCTGTTACCATTACTGTAGGAACTTATATTAGGGATACCGCTTTTCGCGGTATTTTGATTATGAGTTGGATGTATGTTTGAATTAAGACGTGAATTTCCATGCCGCTTTGAATGACTACTATGCGTTTTTTCTTCACGTGTGCGATTTTTTGACTTTTGATTTGAATTTTTATTATAGTTTTTGAGTTTTGACATTTTTCGAAACATACAAGCATTTAACAAGTTATGATTAGATCAAGTAAATATATTAGTATACATTAGTTAATAATGTTGTTAGAAATGTTAGAGAAATACGATTTATTCAAACAGTTTAGGATATAAATGTTGAGAGAATTGAAGCATAATTTCTGCTAAATATTTATTACCTGAGTATTTTCATTCTTAGCTTCTGTCACTGTTGCTTTTGGCGCCATGTTTTCCGTTCCTTTTCGCTTTAGGAAGCTAACGGGCATCTCTATGCTTCCATAAATATTCTTATTAATGGTTCCCGCATTAGATTCATTCCCTTGATTAGAACTATTATTATAACCTTTGATATTATTGTTCATATGTCTAGTCGCATTATTGGCATTGATGCTATTTGGCAGTAATAGTCCATTTTGGGCCAAATGAGGTTGAATGTGTGGTCTTAAGGGTCGATCTGGGTTTAATTGCTTCCTTTGATGTAGTTTTTCTTTATAAATTTCCATTTCTTCTAACCACGACTCATGAAAATCCAGAATTTCTAGTCCCTTGTTTGATGGTATGTTGCTGTTTTCCCTATCGTGAACGTGGCTTTGTGCCTGATCTATTTCGTTTGGTTGTATTTGGTTCTGTGGCCTTTTATCAATTATTGGTGCCATGTTTTACTAAGAATTTTGGTTTCTACACACACAAAAAAAATGAAATTAATAAAAAAAATTTTCAAAAATTATTTTCATTGATAATAAAAAAAATGTAAGATTTAAAAATCTAATTACTTAATGAGAATTTATTAGATATGTACAGCTATCTTGCAATTAAGGAAAGACACAAATATATTTAAAGCTATTTTTAAAATGGCACAGCACCAAAAATATTGCATTGACTAAATAATTCATTAGCGGCTGCCAATTAAATTCGATTTAATTAACAAGTAAAAGGTCATGTCGCAGTACCTAGGTGTGCGTATATCAAAATAAATTTAAATTTCTAGACTGCATCTACATTGTACTCAACATTACTACAGCATAAGTTCATTGTCTAAAAATAAAAAATTAAAACAAACTTTGTGAGCGCGCCGGATTTAGTTACTGGTTTGAGCACTTTTTGAAAACTTTCATCATATCCAAGTTTTTTTGTTTTTAACTCACCACACACATGGAGGAACACTGATAATTTTGTTAAAATTACAATTTATTTTCGACTGACATTGGATTTTATATATAATTTTGATTAAATAAAATTTTTAAGGAAATGACATTCCTTTAAAGTTAACATAAATACAAAACATTCGTTTGACGTTAGAATCAAAACGATTTTGTTTGACGCCTTGTTGCCGGCAAATGTCAAAAATGACAAGCAAATTGGACGTACCATCCACCAATGCAAAAAATAATAACAATAAATATCACATATTGCGCTTGCGCTCTTAAAAAAAATATATCTTTACATACGTACGTAATTATTGGATGAAATATGTGATAAAAATACTGAACAAAAATTGGAAACAAAAATTTGTACAAAAAATTTTGATATTTTTTTTTTGATTTTATTTTATTAAAGTAAATTATTGTAGAATGTGGTTCTAAGACCAAAACATATTTTATCTTCTTTCAACTTCTCATATTTGTTTTAACAGCTAGGTAAGTATTGAAAAATATTAAATATTTCAACATTACGTTTCCAATGCCTATAACACGTAAAATACATCGGTTTTAGTCCGATCGCTAAAGTAACATTAATTGTCTTATATTATGTTTCTACTGCCGCTAAAACTATTTATATAAATAAAATTAAAATTTGGTTGTTTCCAAGAGCATAAGTTAATTCATACATGTGAAATAGCGTTTGTTTACATTTGACATTTAAAACAGTGACAAATATTTTAAAATTTTGTAATTTCCCTTGTGGGAAATTAATTGCTAACGGTTGCATTCATTATTTTTGGTCCAATTTTTCTTTTGATTTATTTTCAAGTAAATTATGCGAAGTACGGATGCTATTTGTATGGTTAATGAAACTTAATTCGAAAGTTATACTCATTAAGTAAGCAGTGGAAACATGATATTAACTAAGTTAAAATCACGAAAGCTCTTTGTATTGTTAATCAAATTTCATTAGTGACCTAAATCAAATAAATTTTTTTAACGAAGACAGTGGGTAGGTACATGCTAGAAACGAACACTAACACAAAGTAAAAATATAGGATTAAAATATAAATTTTTAAAAATTAAAGACTATTTAATACAAAATTTAACTTAACTCCAGAAAGTGCTTTATTTATACATTGTTTTTATTTACTATTAGACGTCTAATATGATTTGCCACAACATTTCCCATATCTTTTTTTTTCAGGATTTAACACTTTTTTCACCAAATATAAATGTTACTTTTATATATGAGCAATTATGAAACAATTTTGCTAATTTGACATAATTATTTCAAATAAGTGTGGAAAACGCGACTAATTATTACAAAATTATCGAATCAGTTGATTGCGATAATGTAAACGCACTAAGATGTTAACATTAAAAAGTTGGGACATTTTTAACACAGTGTTCCCCGTCCCAAAACAACAAGGCTATGATGTTTTTTTTTAAAAAACAGATGAGTACCTATAACATTTATCAGTCCATGTATGTTAATACTTAAATGATGTCAATACATAAGAAATAAATAAAAATTTATGATTCATTTATATGAATAATGTAGATGTACGTAATAACACATTCTTTGATATCTAGTTTTTTATGCTAACAAATCCACATAAAACAGGATTGGTATTTAATAAAACGCTAAAAAACATATATTTTATATAACATTAAATTTTTTATTGCCATTTGGCGTGATGTAAGAATCAAAGTACAAGTAGCAATTAACTAATGGTCAAGCATCCATTAGTATATAGCGCTTCTTTTTAGAAATAAGAGAAAAAATATATAATTACGTATAAAACAATAAATGCTCTCAAAATAATAAATATTCACAACATATATTTGAAAGTGTTTTAATTGATAATAAATTGATAATACAAAAGTATCACACACCACAGAAGATTAAATAAAATTTTTCTGTTACAAACATTTTTAGAGAATACATAAATAGTAAGAATACAAATATAAATTGTCTAATAAATCACACTGAAAACCCACATCGCACATAATGTTATAAAACTTTTAATAATAATTTTGTTTTTAAAACGGTCTAATTGGTCAATAGGCCTTACGATAAACTTCATATATGTATTTTATCTTAATGTTAATGTATTGTATTAGTTATTTTTTTTCAAATTATATTCAGTTATTGCTACATTACAAATGCATTATAATAATATTTTGAGGATAATTATAGAATATAGTCGAAATATTAATAAAAACAAAAAGTATTTAAAAAAATTATTTTATTAAAAGAAATGTATATTTCAACAATTAACTATTTAGCTCGTTTCAAAAACAAAACTATTAATAAAAATTTTGGTCAATAAAACAATGATTTCATAAAATTTTTATTAAATAACAGCACTGTTTTTTTTTGGAGCAACGTTGTTATCTTCGTCGTAATAATTCTTCGCTAATAGTAGCTATGCGCGGAGTATGCATATTTATGTATGAAATTAAAGGAAAGGATTTTAGTTTTTTGTTACTAATAGTTAGTCCTGTTATATCATTTTTATTTTAGATAATCTTAATTATTAATTTAAAATCTCGTATTATATGTATGTTCACTTTTTTGTCTTCTTCCATAGCTCCATCTCGCGGGTTTAAACAAAGTTTGTAAAATGTTTCTCTTTCCTAAGAAAACAATTTTAGGGACGTCTAAAAAAAATATATAACAGAGAAGATTTTGATATATGTGTAAATAAATATTATTCAAGTACATGCACTAGCTGTGGACCAAAGTGACGACGAAATATAGTCTTTTCATGCTAAACTAAATGAACTTATGCGACTGACCAAACCACATGTAATAAAGAATATTCAAGGAGATTTTAATGCAAAGGTTGGAAGAGAAGTTCAAGGGGTTTTGAGCCATTATGGACTAGTCGAAAGAAATGAGAGAGGAGATTGATACATTTTGACACAAAACTAACTTGGAAGCATTATATTTTTACAAAAAGAAAAGTACTTGGTATCAGACTGCGGGAGCTCTCGATAAAGCTATATTTTAACCAATCTGCACTTATTGGAAACTGCTGCATCTTCAAATACAAAGATTATCCAACGTTTCCAATCAAAAATCCTAAAAATAATCTCAAATGCTCGTAGATTTATGACAAATGAATGTATACACCGCAATCTCAACATCCCCGTATTTAACGATGTTATAAAAAGCAATCTGGATATAATATTTTAACCATATCTTCCCATTATAGATTAAGATATCTCTCAACAATTTTTTTATACAAAAATATTGAAAGTCACATTTCAATTAAACAATGACAAAGCATTACAAAATAGTAACATATCCCAAAATGTCAGAAAATTGCATTCTTATATATTTTTAAGACCTAGACCCAGCTAAATGGAAACAGGGATTGATCATAATGATTGTTAAAAGAAGCAAAGACATCGCAAAAACTAATTTTTAATGGTCATTTAAGTCATATACTCTCATTAGGTCACGAAGATTTCTAGCTAAGTTCTAGCTAATTCCTTTTTATAGAAGTTCTTATTGGAACTTCACACTTAATTACGTGGCTATATTTCATTCTTGATGATTGTGCGCAAATTTTGGTTATCCATTATTCAACTTAATCAATTTTCTATTCTATTGTAGTATATTTTCGAATAGTGTTGGTAGAATACGTAGCAGGTATTTATACTTTCCTTGTGTTAGCAATTATATCAAACTGATAAAACTCTTGAATTATTATGCTTGAATGTATATCTCCTCCATTATCGAGCATTGACTTGTCTGGCTGGCTTATTAGCCAATAATTAGAGTTTTCATAATGTCAGTGTTATCTTCAGGTTACATCGTTAGAGAAGATTATTCAGTAACATGTATTATTGAGAGACATGAGAGACCATTACGATGTTTAAACACACGTCTTAAGATAATGCGCCGACTAATGCGTCCCATTGAAATAAAATCCGTTGATATCAGTTTTTAAGAAATAAGATGCATCTAAGTACTTTCTATTCTTTGAGCACTTGGATCCCATAGTACTACATATCATGTAAGTGAAACTGACTTGCTACAAGTTATACTCCAAAACTGTATAGGTTGGTACTTCATCTTGTGATTATTTTTAGCCCTACCTTAAATAAGGAATTAATGAGATAACGAGCGGTATAGTAGTGTAGTCATCGATTCTAAGTATACAAATGCATGACAATCTGTAAAAATATAGACATCGCAATATCAGACTGTATTACACATTATACTTTTAGCGGGATGACATTGATATACGATTAGAATAAACTACAAGCGTACTTTAGTTTGTAAGTCAAACTTTAACTGGATATGGATATATTTTAATTAGATTTCAACTCCTTTTGTAGCAGATATATACCGAATTTGAAGACACCGAATATTTGATTGCACATTATCCACAATTTGTGGCAGCTCGTAGAAATTAGAAAACTATTCACAGTTATTTTAATGATAGACTTGGAAGTTTGCTGGACTGCATAAAGAGACTGCGATCATTTCGCAGTCTCGAAGTGGCAATAGACCACTTCGCCCAATCAAGTAATTTCTTAGGACCATATTGTGCATATAGTTATTTGACGAATATCTCTTTGTTCGTGTCATTTTTTACTGAGCAAATTTTGACCAACGTGATAAGACACGAAAAGTTTTGTCACCATAGCCAAATTTTAATTGAATTTTCTGTCTCTCTCTCTCATCCTTAATTTTGTTACTTATATTGAAAACAACGACAACTTTGTATACGACGTAATCATGGTTGTCTGTATCATATGTTCCCTATGGGTTGCTACGGCAGTAAAACTGGAAAGGATGTCTAGGAGACAGAGTAATTTAAACAAAAGTCCATATTACATTTTAGCTTACAAAACTTTAGCTAACCTACATAAGGACGATTTATGATGAGAAGATATTGGATTATCTAAACCTACACTTGACTAATAATAAATTTATTATCAAGATTTTCCAATATTTACTTTACTATATTGCAAAATTAATATTATGATAAACTAAATAATCTCATATCAAAAATTGTGCTAAGTGTAAAGAAACCCTCAAACAATATTGCGAACAGTCCCGCAAGTAGACAAAAACTGATAACAAA